TTGGGGTTGTCCATAAAACGTGCCATATACACACCCATGGCAACGGTTCTGTGGAGGAGCCGCCAGCTGAGGTTTGCCTCAGACTGCAGCCCGCCTTGCCTCTGAGTGTCTGTCTGTTGTTGTCTGGGGCTTGGCTGAATATGGGAACGTGTGGCTGCGCCCAGTGTTGTAGTTGGGCTCGTGTTTCCGCTGTGTGGCTGGGAGCTTTCAGAAATGCTTTTGTTCCATTACATGTCCCAAAGCACATGACTTCCTGTGGGTGCTCTGCTGTGCTGTTTGATCCCAGTTTGGATATCTGCCCTCCAGAAGAAACGGAAGATAACTACAGCCACTTCCTTTCTGCAAGCAGCTTGCTAGTATATTTGTCCTTTTTTGTTGTCCTAATCTAGAACATTTTTCCTGCAAAAATTGTAAATATTGCTGCACGGAGCACTTTCACCTATATTCCTGGCCCAAGGGGAGACATGTTCCAGTAAGCCTAGTGGTGCTTATTCCGTAGCATAGACTGATGGCTCACTTGGGATAGAAGCATCTTTGCTTGAGAAGAGGGCTGGATGTTTGGACAGGGTGCACATGTTGAGTGACAGAATTCTGTGTTCCAGAGCACAGGAGGTTGGTGGGGACAAGAGGTGATCAGGCTAGAGGAAAGGCAGACATCTGAACTGCTCTGATACATCTGTCCCCCTCTTCCTGCCATAAGGAGACCTTAGGGCTGCACTCCCATGCGTCCAGTCAGCGGCCAGCCCAACTCTGCATGTTTTACCCCCGCATGGGCTAAATTTAACCCGTACAAAACTGCCCTGCACTGAGTTGTCACATTGGACTGGCTCTGAGCTGCCAGTTCTGCGTGACAGCCAGAGCTAGGGCAAGAGCCACAAAGAGGTGAGGAGATCCTTGCAGCATTAAATATGGATGTTTTCAGTCCTCCCAGTTCAGCAGCTTGATGCTGATTTCCTGGCCAGAGACACCTGTGTGTTCATCGTGCAGCTGGGAGCATAGGTGCGGACCTCTTTAACTGCAGGAGCTGCATTGTGAATCCCTTCTGTTCAGTATTTGGTGTACAAGCTGGATCTCCCCAGTGCTGTGGAATTAAATATGTTTCCAGAAGCTGGGGGAGGGCAAAGCAGGCTGAGACTCTTGCTCCCTACTCTCCAAATCTTCTGACTTTCTTCCCCACTCCTGGGTTTTTGGCCTTGCCAGCTGAGCTGTCCAATTGCATTGGTCATTGGCTCACTGGTGAGCACAACTTCCCAGTGTAGTGTCTGACAGCCCCTTAGGGGCTGAAGGAATCTTATTAATCATGAATACTTTTGGACTGATTCCTCCAGGGTGTGCGTGAGACATTTCCGACTGGGCAGGGGCAGGGAAGTGTCTGCAGTGGAGAGCTAGTGTTACCCTGGGGAATATGCACATGGGCAGCTATGGAGCCAGCTGAGCAGTGCTTAGAAAACTGGCCTCCAGGTCTGAGATGCGTGTTGAGATTGTAGTTGGTGATCAGTTTCTTTCCGTGAGGGAGGAGGGAAAAGGTTGGAAGAAGGTCAGAGAATGGGCTCTATGGCTGGGCCTGGGCTCTTGCAGTCTGGGAGGGTAGAATAGCTTGCATGATACCTCTGCACTCCCAAAGCTGTTGTCTTATCTCCGCTTACTCCATACTGTGAACCCAAACTGTGCTTCATGTGGTCACAATCTTCTGGCTCCAGAAGCCCTGTGTTCTGGAGACCCCTGGCAGATGTGCAGGGCACCCATCTGGGAACCCTAGCTATTTTGTGTGGAGTGGGGGTGGCAGGGAACTAGTTCTGTTTAGAACTAGTGGGAACTGAGGCTGTAAAACCCTGTGGTGATGGATGATGGCACAACTGTCCTGGGTGACTTGCCCAAATCAGTTGTAAGCACTAGCAAGAGTGAGTGGGTAAGTAGGCATAGGAGCATGGTGCTGTCTGGGTTGTAGATCAGAGGAGCAGAGTGAAATGGGCTTGGCAGTGCTGTGACTCTTTTTCCCCCTCCCTCCCTCCCTTCCCCTCCTAAAA